AGCTGCTGCCACAACATAACGTAAAAGCACATTGAACAGAGCCCTCTTACGTACAATGCTGACAATTGGGACAAAATCGGCCTTCGACCATATACCGCAGATAAGCCACGATGAATTGGCACAAAGTTTCCTTCAGCTTCCTTCGGTTGCGGGATCCATCTATTTTGAAGAAAGTTACAGCGATGCAACGCATCTCCGCAGCATTTGATTCACACCGCAAGATTAGCCTGTTGCAGAATTCCAGCAGAATGAAGGCGAACTAAAGCGAAGTTTGCGACATACGCGAAATCTGCATACCTGTGAGCGGTATGGTATACGTCGTGCATGCAGGGCGCGGAGAAATCCTAGTTTCTCGTGCACTCTCGAGGCTTTTTTTTCTCTGCGCTCTCTTTCAGCCAAGAACTGTCTTCGATGGACTCAACAACGCTGCATTCGGGCAGCCGAATGCGAACGGCCCTTGTAAGTAATTGCTGTTGCTACCACTACCAATGTTTTGAAGTTATATTCATCTACTAGTATCTTGCCTTCTTCACATCCGTTTACTCATTGCAGCGGAAGTTTTGAGAGAATCTTGGTCGCAGTATTAGTCCACTCGACTCAAAATGTCACCATAACTTAGAAACTCACAGTGAGATAAGGTTGTGCAGATGAAAACAACGAGGTGGAATGCAGACCGAAGGTAATTAAGAAGAGCAAGGTAGAAAATAGCAGGTCATGTTTTGCCTGCGAAACTATAGCGTTCTTGAGAGGTCCGGGTAGTGGATCTAGTGAATCCAGTTCATCTACAAAATCTCAGTCTCACCATTAAAAGCGTTTGCTTTAGTTTACTCGTATTTCTCACCTTCATCCTGTTCTTTCGAGGAGGAGCAACAAAGACGACTGGTGCTTTCAGAACTATTAACTGTTCCCATGGAAGGGCATGCTTCTCGAAGCAATACGACAGATATTCGAAGGTTGGATGAAATTCTGCACTAAAGGTCACTGAGAGCGCATGGCATTATATACTGGTAGATTCGGATTAAATTACCTGCTCAATATATATGAGACTGCGACAGCCGCAGAGAGAAAAGCAGAGAATGCTGGAGTTTGTGTAGTACTGGAATTCATAGAATAGGCCAAATGGCACCTGAGAGTTGATTATAAGATATATGTCATTTTATTGCAGAAACGTTGAGCAAGTTCAACTCACAATCCCCCCAAAATTGCCCAAGCAATTGAGCTTTTCAAAACCTGTAGAAGAGCACTTAATACACCGAGAGAAGCCGTTCCACCGAACAGATGCATCTCAAACTGTTCTAACACATGATGCATAAGAGTGTTCGCCTGCGTAAAATTAGGATGGACTCAAATATTAGTAAAATGGCAAAGATAGGATTTCTCCACGGTATTTGCTTCCGTTTAAAGTAATTCCTTTCTTTTGAGAAATCATGGATTGTTACCTTATCATTATCACCTACCTGTGGAAGCCATCCCATTGCATGTGCAACCGGTAGCAACACCAACAGTGTAGCAAAAAGACCGTGAATGGTTAGAACACTCATCTTTCCAGCTGAGTACAGCCTTTGACATTGTAGATATGATTGTTCAATTCTCTTTTCTGAGCACAACAACATATACGCATACCAGCGTGGTACTTCGTCGTGTTTGCAACCATTACAAAAATAATGCAGCACCAAAACTGTGCCTGCCATTAAACAAAAATATAAGGGACGGCTATAGGCAGCGATCCAGTTGAAGCCATGCATAGGTGACGATGCATCGGGTTGGACGCTTTTGAGGAGCGAAAACTGTGTTTAGCTTTTGTCACAATGAACTCTCATTTCAAGATTTCGCAGAAAAGAAGACCGACATAGAGACGAAGCAGAAAAAACTCATGTATGCTTACATGTGCACCAGCAACAGTGAAAGCTAGCAGAAACAACCATATATCTGAGTAAATCCCTGTAGTCAAAACCACACCAGTTAGAAACGATACAGTGCACGCTAAGAGAACATCGAATGCGCAAGACCAAAAAGAACAGTTTCTGTCGAAGAGTGCAGATAGCGCAAGTCGATCGAGCTGTAAGCGTACAAATGGAGGTTTTTATATCGAAAACACCGCTTAAACACGTACCTTGAATTGCCGATCTCCCTTTCTTTGCGAAATTTCCTTTTTGTAATTATTCATAAGTTCTCGAATGCGTTGCTCTGATCTTTCAAGGTATTGTGATGCTGAACATAAAATATGAGAAAGAGTTCTATGTAGTTAGGAAAAAATAGATGAACGATTCGTCGTCTACAATACTCTCTAATTCCAAATTATTTCAAGTCTGCGTTGATATCTGTCCATCGCATCCTCAGTCTACCTCTTGGTCTACCGCCGGGGACCTCACTGTCATCGCTAGTCTGGTGATGAGCTGCTCCTCCTGTCGTCTTCGCACATGCCCAAACTATCTGAGCCGCCTTTCTTGTACTTCCTTGACATTGGAGTCAGTTTCATTCTTGTTCGTATGATATCGTTTGTGACATGGTCAAGCATCGTGATGCTCATCGTCCACCTAGCGTAGTGTTTCCATCATAAAAGCTTTCGTACCTCCTTACGTGTGCCTGGCCAACACTCACTTCCATACAGCAGCGCGGGGACGGATCATGGTGCAGCACATCTGGGATATCAACTTGAGCGGCATCCGTTTGCCGCATAGCATTCGTGTAAATTTCTCCACTATGCTCCGTTTATACCAGATTTTGTCTTTAAGTGTGCCATGACCGGGATGCGTCTTCCTAGTTATCTGAAAAAGGTGGTTCTTCTTGATCTGTGTGCTTGAAACCTGGATCGTCTCTGACGTCTCCAGTCCCAGCTCCATGTGTGCTGTCTTAGCGGTGTTTCTTCAGACCGTGTTGTAGTAGTTCGAGCTGTTCTTTCCAAATTGTTGAACCCATCTCCAATTCCTTCCTGCTTTTTTGCCATCAGGGGTTCATCGACATTCCATGGAGGATGGTATGAAGCCTTTGACTGTCGTGTCCATCATTATGATGAAGAGGAGGGGGGAGAGATGTTGCATTCTTGATGTGCAGCATCTATGGAACTGCTCTGTACGTCCTGCTGCTGTTCGTACGTAGCTGGTAGCTTCCTTTTATATCATTTCGACTCATCGGAACTATTTTTCTGGTACCTCGTGCTTCAGCAGTGCTCGCGATAACATGTAGTGCGATACTTTACCGAATCCCTTCTCCGGATCCGGAAATATTGATATCGAAGTCAATGAGCTTACCGTAGCTTTCTTGTGGTAGTAACGCTAGACCGTGTTCAGAAAGGAAACGAGCATTCGAAACCATTCTACCTCCTCCGGAAGATGTCGCATTGCGCTGAAATAACCACATTTAGTCTAGAAACACATGCTTTTGAAAGGAGTGCAAAATTATCGATTTATATTCGAACATTCAGTCTAAGGCAGATAGCCATGTAAGCAAAGCCTGCACCAATCATTACATACTTCCCATATTTATTTTTCTCCCAGTCGAAATCGTTCTCATATGCGGTTGCTAGCAATTGAGCAGTATGATGTCAAAGATTTTTGAATTTCAAATCTTGAAGCAGCCCAGCAATGGAAATATTATTATGAACCTCTCTGTAAATTCTAGACTAGCACACAAAGTGCATGTCAAAAGTTTTCGTTCGTTTTGGCATTGTGAGAGTGCACGCTCAAAAAGTGTTTTGCGAATTTTCCTCGAAGTTCGCCAATGAATATGATGTTTGATTGCATTAGGATCTCAGGCCACTCCGCGGTTTCTTCTGGATAAAAATCATTATAACTACAGTTTATAAGATGTCACAAAGTTGTACACACAGTTAAATCGGTCATGACTGTCTTGCTCACAGCCGTTCGCCGATTTTGACGCACTTTTATTTTATAGAGATGGCATTGTCAGATTTATAGTATGGAGAGGAACCACCACCACCACTATCACCTTTGTTACTGTTGCTTTGAGGCAAGGTAAGAAAGAACATCCAGCATTCAAAGCCGTGTGATGGGTCAATGGAAAAGTTGCAGAGGCTGGAAATGGAGAGAGCACGGGCAGAGTGCTGACCTAACTACACAGCTTTTCACAATATACCAAGCTTCCCCTTAATCGTTTTTATGAAGAATTGTGAAAATATTAGATCGTTCCGAAAGTTTTTTCGTTCGGACTTACCATAAAAAGTGTGAGGTAAAGATGACCAAACATTTCAAAGACTACTCGACGCAGTTTTTCTTCTTCTTTTCAGTAGTCAAGTTTT